TGTATGTTAATGTGATAAAAGTGTAAAACAAAAAATGAAAAAGTAAGGGATGTACTCAAAAATTAAATAAATATAATGGTATAAAGTGTAAGTGATAAAAATATTCTTTTGTAATATATATCATATAATAATATAATTTAAATCAAAAATAATAAATTTTGAAGGTATTGAGGAGACAATTTATAATGGTATAAATTGTTAAAATAAAAACATATTTTTTAAATTAATATTCAATTATGCACGTTAATGTAATAAGGGTGTAAAATGAAAAATGAAAAACAAATTGACATACCATAAATTACATAATTAACTACAAGAGTATAAATTATAAGTGCTAAAAATATTTGTTCGTAGTAATATATGATATAATAATATAATTATATAAAAAAATATTTAATATTAGACTTATTTTGAAGGTATTGACAAGACGATTATAATGATGTAACTTGTTAAAATTAAAACATATTTTTTAACGTAGTTTAGTTAATATATATAATTATGTATCTTAATATGATAAGGGTATAAAAAACAAAACTATAAAAATAAATTAATTAAGTAACTATAGAATATGAAGTATAATTTAAAAATTAACAAGTATATTAAAAAATGAGTATGTAAGATGAACAAGATGAATAAAGGGCATGAAAATGCTTCCTGAGAGGTTAATTTAGTTGTTAGATCTATTTTAGTTAATATAAAATTATGTATTTTAAATGGTGTAAAAATAAATGATGTATCATAAATTAAATAAATAAATATAAAAGTATAAATCGTAAATATTAAAAATAGTTTTTCACAGTATATATAATTAAGTTAAAAACTATTTAATATTGGACACATTTCGAAGATATTAACGAGACGATTATAATGGTGTAACTTGTTAAAATAAAAATGTATTTTTTAAACATGTTTTAGTTGATATACGATTATGTATGTTAATTTGATAAAGATGTAAAATGAAAAATTTAAAAATAAAGGATGTAAAGTAAATTAATTAACTAATTATAAAGATATAAAGTATAAATTTAAAACTATAATCTTAAAAAATTCGGTTCAATATGAAAGGGTGAGTATGTGAGATAGAAAAGGCATTGTTGTGCCTTTCTTTGAATTCAGAACCATATCATCTGCCACGATAAACTTTTCGCTCGCAAATAAACTTGGACAAGGGGGATTTGGGCCTGTTTACAAGGTAACAACTCTTGCTTCTTTCCGAACTCTACTCATATCCCTTCGTCCTGAATGATGGTCCAATTTTGAGTATCAAAAAGACCTTCTGAATCAACAAAAAGTGGACTTATTTTAGGGACACAAGTAATCACGTTATGCTTTACCAAGTCCATATGTTTTGGGCACTTAATAGGGAA